GTGATTCCACAATTGAATAAAATATGAATAGGTATGCCGTGTTACGAAGTTTCCAGTTAATTAAAGATAGCTCTATTTTATATAAGTCATGAAATATTAGTTTGAAAATGCCACTTTTATAATATAATATAATATAAGGCGTACAGTAGGCATTTTATGAGCAAGTGAAGGCACATGCATAGGTGAAAAATTCGATTATCAATTTCTGAAAGAACGTTTAAAGCTAAGTAAAAGCGTAACCATACAAGCCACATTCCAACTATATAACAACTGCAAAACAACAGTTTTAATGCAAATTTGATGACTGCGGAATAATTGCCGACTGCGTCTCAATTTACATTGCTGAGGAAGAGAATGTTTATTAATGTTTGGCTTATTTTTGTTATGAAATTGTACATAGTAATTAAGAGTTAAGGAGCATCCTCGTGAAAGAGTTTGTCCAGGCAAGTACTGCCACCTTACTTATTTCTGCCGCCAAGCAGTAATGTCAGCATTACCGTGTTACGATTTTGATGGATAAGGGTGGTGGTGAAATTACAGGCACATGGGACTTATGTCTCAGGGTGACGGGCGCAGTGGCAGGGCCCCCCAGATCTTTCAAAGTGGCACTGCATCTGCTATGGACATGCGTGTCGCTTACCACCAGGCGCACGTCTTGTTCGTCCCGTTCGACTGGTATCATAAAAAAACATCACCACTGTTCCGACCATTTCACATGTATTATATTATATAAATAAGTATTTTTCCAATTTAGTTTATGGATAATAATTTAATGTTATTGATTTGTATTTGTATTAAATAAGTTTTGTTTTGTTGTATACGTAAGCCCGTTATTTTAGTTATTGTGCACTGTATTTAGATCTGCAGAAAGAAATTTATTTTATAAATAAGCAGAACCTTTTGTTTGTATTTTCCTTTTATTAAATGTGATTTGTGTGTTGTTCTTGTACAATAAAACAGAATAATGCACTTAATGCAAATATGTAACATATAAATTGAATACGGTACCTGCGGAATTTCCTGAGACTGCGCTTTTCTTCGGAAGACGTGCGACCTGTTTTTTGGCTCGTATCTAGTTTGTATGCTACACAGTTGTCATACACGTCATTGTGCTAGGGTTACAAATATTCGCTTCCATTCGGTTCCGCCACAATGTAAACTGAGCCAGTGTGCAGTCGTGCCTACAGCACTCCAACTGCAATTCGCAATTATTATGCAGTTGGAATGTAGATCATGAGACTACGCCCTAAGGGGATAGCGACGTCGATTAACAGTGTTCGGCATTTTGCTCACACAAAGTAAAAAAAAATTACTACGTTCCAGACATTTCTATTTATTCTTGATAAACAAATAGTTCAAAATGCCAGTTAACGTAATTTAGACTAACTTACTAACACATTAATATGTAAATGACGCGAGCCTTTTTCGACGATTTAATTTTGTAAAGAAAATAGTGCTAGTTTAACTTTAGACCTTTGAGCGCTAAATCAATGTCGCCAGTCTACTCTTAAATACCCGAAACATCATAACAACCAATTCCTTACAACAAGAGTTTATTTATTCTACATTTACAATTACTGAATGAAAAATAAAATACTGTCCAAGACAATTGTTAATTGCCTAAATATTAACAAAAACTACTCAATTATTTTCCCGTACTTTGTGGTAAAATCACTAAATTGGCAATACCACGCTGATAGCGGATATCTGTCGATACATCGCCACCCGCACGTTACACAAGACCTTTAACTGAACAAAAGACGAAAAGATGCCGCACACTGCGATTCAACCCTAAGTTACAAGAAGCAAAAGCGAGTTTATTAAATAAGTTTTGAAAGAGTTGCCCGTTAAAAGCGTTTAGCCTTAGGGCGCGTTCCCACTATGTCGTGACGACAGATTGTCGTGCAGTTTACAGTGTCGTGGCTTGTATATTTAAATGAAGCTGTTCACATATAGCACGACACGATTAACTGTCGTTCACGATTTTTTATCGTTACAACGACAAACTGTCGTCACAGTGGGAACAGCTAGAACGACAGTCGTCAGACGATAAAAAAACGTCACGATAAAAACGTGACGACAGATTGTCGCCAAGTTTTATTTATTGCTGTCCGCACGTATTCTGCTCCCTGCCCTCCCCTCTCGTACCCCGCGCTATCTGCTCGTAGCCAGAGATGGCAAGTGCCCAGGTTGTAACCCGGCGCTTTGTTAACGCCGGATTTAAATCGGGTTAAAACCCTAAACCTAGGGCAAAAACTAGTTACATCTAAATATTTGTTGTGAATTGAGTTTTGTTCAAATTTAATTATACATTGTGTTTTCATTTGTAATGTGCTCTGTAAGTCGTGTTAATAGACCATTAAATGTGGAAATTGTCATTCTTGAATAGTCCCAAAATTTTCTATCATCAGTTTTCAGTTCATCAATAAACGTTTGACATAACCCTAATGGAATTCATTTTAGTAGCATTGGATGTACCCAAAACTTTCTTTTCTTTGTTTTGCTTCCCCTTCCGTATTTTTAAAAAGTAATACATTATTAAAATTTCGTCTTCATCCATTTCGAGCGAACACACACTACCGGCTTCCAAAAGAACATACAAGCGATTGCAGTGCATCAAACGATTCTGTCGTGAAACGAAAAATTGTCGTCACGATCTAGTGGGAACAGCTAGTCACGATAGTCGTTCAACGATAAAAAATCGTCCACGACAGATAGTCGTGATATGGGAACAGGGTAGACACGACAGTCGTCCAACGATAATAAAACGTGACGACATAGTGGGAACGCGCCCTTATGCAAAATTAACACAAAATTCCAGCAAGTAAGGGAGAAATACTTAATAGTCAGATAGAAGTGCTTTATAAGTACCTATTAAATAGTCATTGCTTTCACATCGATATTAAAAAAAACTTAATACCGGCAATTTAGTTTTATTTTCGTTACCGGTATTTAACCCGTAAAAAAACTGGTATATTATAAATTTCACCTTACACACATACGGTTTTGTTATTTTGAACGCACTAAAACACCTAAAACGGGTACCTTTTCCGGTGTTCTGTTTTAAGTAGTTTATGTGTATTTAGAGAATAAACAGTAGCCCAGTGAAATACAAAAGTCGTGGTTTAAAGCATATAGATTTTCCTGATAAATTATAATAATAAGCTTATATAATCCTAAGTAAATATGCCTGAATTGGTACAGGTTTATTTTACCGATATTTATTTTTAGTTATTTGATTTTACTATTCTGTATTACGGTATTAGACAGGTGTCGTGATTGAAATGTTTGCAATGTTTTGAACGATTGCAAACAGAATCGAAATTAAAAAAAAAATTGTTACAGGCATTCAGAAATCAGGAAATAGAAATAAATAAAAAATATAGTTCTTTCAACTGGGCATCATAATGCTTAAGCCACAAAGAGAAAGCCGGGAATAGCGGCCAGTTCAGCCAGTGACGGTTTCTGTGTGGCCAGGGCATATAAATGTCACTGAAGCCATAGCTGTTTTGAGTCACATATTCTGTTAAGGTAAACTGTTGGTGTTCTGTTTTAGTTTACAGAGTCCCGTTTTTCGATGTTTAAGCAGTAGATTCAATAAATACAAAGGAATTATACTAAAACCAGACACATTTCATAATAAATATCACTAAAACTCTCATTGTGCTCAAGGACACAAAAACTAACAATTATTGCCGATAGACACATTTCAACGATGAAGCGGCAATAAATTCTATATATGACACGGAAACAAAAAATAAAATCATTTTAAATGATTTTTTGGACACTCTTATCAATCCTTGCAATAATTAACTTTAATTTCAAACCGGTATTAATACCGGTTAGTTTAGTTGTCAACTTAAGTCTTGTTACTTCATCGTCGATTTGTTTGCACGTTCCCTTACACATAATATAATAAATTAATCTTACATGTACATAATGAATTAAATATCGTTTATCACATTATTTATACTCGTATATTAAATCACGGTTTTCCGGAAAGAGACCATTCAAGTGCATGACTTGAAATAGTTTTGAACACGGAAGAAAAATTGATCAGTGGTTTTGAACTTTCTGCGTCACGCAGGTTAAGCAAACTTTCTCACATCATGGCAAGTTCAGTACACAATAACGATGCTCGCAAACGTAATTTAAATTGTCCGATGATCGGACACAAGTACGACTGATTGTTAGTGACAGATTTGTGCCTTCTTACAGTCGATAGCCTACACTATAGTGCTTGCATCACGGTGAAAGGATCTGCCAATAGGCAAGGTACTCTACATTGTTGCCCAGGTTTCACCAGATGTACAAGAAAGGATGGTACGTCGTGCGGGGTGGCTACTTACCGTCTTGCCGACTTTGCGCATAAACTTTGTAACGTCTAGGAAATTAAACTATTTTTCCGGATTTAAATAGCTTATAGCGTATAGCGTTTTTTAAACAAACTAACGTTTCGGGCCCTTCACATGTCCCATGGTCACGGCTGACTGAGATGGTAAAATAATTAACCAGTTATGTCTAATATTACAAAATAACAACAAAAGTTATTAATTAAATACATTATTTTTAGTAAATTATATTTACTGTCAATTAATAATGGAAAATAGAATAAATGAAAACATATTAATTACTACAGCAGTCTTACGTCTGTTTGGGATTTTTCATCAGAGGAAATACTGGATACCAAACTGGTGGTACGGATGTTCCTTATTGAAATTAGTCAACCGTGACCATGGGACCTATAAAGGACCCGAAACGTTGGATTGTTTGAAAAATCAAATGTACGCCATTCAAATCTGGAAAAATAGTTTCATTTCCTATGCGTAGCAACCGCGAAAAACTTGATTTTTAACGTCCAATTTTCCAACGATAACTAAAGCGTTCATTGACTTATATTGTAGTAAGTCGAAATACCATTTTTTACTTTTTAACTTAATAATTATTACCCTTTTTTATTTATATTACAATATGCAGAAAAAATAAATATTCTTTACTTAAAAAGCATCGATTTAAGTTATACATCTCCTTGTAACAGTATGTGTGTAAAGTGTAACTAACAACAACTAAGCGACTTTATTCCTGTTCGTACATACAAATTCAGTCTATTTTAAGTCTTCTTCATTTCTTCCATCGGTGGTAAATCGTCCAAGAGGCTGTCTTCCTCCAAGAACAATGTGGAGTCTGTTAAATGAAAATAAATAACTATTGGATTGTTTTTCAAACTTCGATTTGAGATTTTTTGTACTTTTTTTTAATTAATAAAAACAATTAACAGTATTTTCAAAACTTAAATTGTATGTTTTGCATTACGGACTAAAGCGTGAAGCGTACAGCGCGCTGCGGGTCGGGTCGGTCGCGAGTCGGGTCAGGCGCGTGTCGGGTCGGGCGCGTTTCCGGTCGGGTCGGGACGCGCCCGCGCTCGGTGCGTTTTCGTCCATATAAATACACGGAATTAGACCCGTCACGGTCCCGACCCGATACGCACCCGCTCTCTGATTCACGTTTTAATTTTTTTTGTGTTGCTGTATCAACCAGACGCCTTAATAGATAGTCACCTTAGCGGGTTCAGCGTAGGCAAAATTGAAAACAAAATGCATTTTAATACGATACAACTTACTGTTTTGTTTTTGGTTACTGGTATGGAAACCTTTAACCAGTATATTACAAAATTTATAAATTATCTTTATACTATCATGCATTTTGTAATAAATTTTGTTCTTGACACGTCCCGGCGGACGGGGTGGTAAAGGACATTAAATTCATCAATGTATATTTTAAGCTATTTCAATAAGGTATAAATTTAAATGCTCTATCACCGACTTCGGGACCATAATTTCTCTCTGCAACTCAGAGCATAGGAATTTATACCATATTTCAATTGTCATCAATTGTCATATTTCAGTTGCGAAAAATCATATTACAAAATTGAAGACCACGTGTTAGACAAAGATGTATGGAAAGACGACACGGCTCCAGAATTCACACAAATTTGTTCAAAGTGTATTCCATAGCATTTAAGTTTATTTGAAAAGAGCAATCCCTAGAGTTTCTTGCTCGTTCTTCTCAGGGAGGTCAGCATAATGAACGAGCAGTAGCTTAAATGTGTAAGTGTAAATTTATTTTACCTATGGAATAAATAATCTTTGACTTTGACTTTGACATTGCAATAGCATGAAATATACATTGGTACATTCGACGACCTCAGTGGCCGAATGTCTTGTACACCGGTTTTGATAGTGTCGCCAGCTCTGAGGTCTCGGGTTCGATCCCCAACCGGGTCAATGTAGAAACTAACTTTTCTATATGTGGTGCCGTCGTTGTTTCCGAGTTTCCATAACACAGGTGCTTTAATTACTTACTTTGGGGTCAGAGCAACGTATGTAATGTTATATAATGTAATTTTAAGATAGGTACCAAGCAAATGTCTCAACTCAATAGAGATTTATTATTATTAATACAAAGATCGAAAACATAGAAAAACTTTTTCGGCACGATGATACTTGAACCCAGGACCATACTGCACCGTAGTATTGCTCTTACCAACTGAGCTACAAGTCGAGTTATCGAGTTGTCGAAATTCTCCTATGCGTTTTTGATACAGATCTTACTGCACCGTAGTATTGCTCTTACCAACTGAGTTATCGGCTTTAATATCTCGAGTTTTGTGTTTTTTTTACCATCCGTGATACATACAATGTTTTTCATCACATTTGCGAGAAAATACATACAACAGAAATATGGTTCACAACACAACAATGGATTTGGCAAATGGCGAGTTTTTTGTTTTTTTTTTAAATTCTTCCATACATAATACAACTCCAACTAAAATTATGTAAAAAGCAAACACGCATACAGCCAAGATGGATGGTAAAATAAATTTGCTAAATTTTTATACAGAAAATAATTAAACTGAATTATAAGAAATTCTTAATAATACGTATTTAAGTAGTATGTGGCTAGGGTTTGCAATCCGGATACCCGTATATACGAAATATCCTGTTATCCGGAAACAACATCTTTGCGTATCCGGATAATTCGGATATTTCAGACACAACAAAAATCTAAGTGTAACAGTCAAATCAAAGTCATTTGCGCGGGGAACACCTTTTTCTTTTATTAATTGAGAATGAAAGTAGAAGAGATTCCCCGCACTTCATGCACGCACGCTGTTACCTCACCATTTTTAAGTAAAGAATTATTTTATTATTAAGATCGGTGCATGCGCAGTGAGTGAGTGAACTAATCAAACCATACACCACATCCATTATAGCAACTAGTCAGTAGTTCTGCCAGAGGAGAGGTTCCCTGCAAACTCGGGAGCATTTGTGAAGTGAATTGTGAATTTTGAGGGGACGAATTCCTTGGGGGGTTTTCAGGGAAAAAAATTAAAAATAAAGGACAATGGCAAACTCCCATATAAATTTTTGTTGACATAATTTGTATGCGTTTGCTTATGAAAAATATGTGAAAATATAGAGTTGAAATTCCTGAACAAATTTTGTTTTGGGTTTACTACTGTTCTGAGAAGTCAGGAATTAAAGACATTCCAGTTTAAAGTTTTGGAGGTTATGTGTTACGTAATTGAATAAAATATATTCACTGTATTATTATATCAAAATAAACTACAGAAGCCTTAAACAGAGTTAATAGAAACTGAATGGTGCCGTGGGTTTGTGACGTAACCAAAGGTCAGAGGAAATTCTTTTGTATACTGGTATGGTCAAAAGGCATGAAGTTAAGCCATAAAAAACTGAGTTATTATAATTAATACAATACCACAGACTATTGCAGGTTTTATAGCCAGCTATATGCCTCGATTACTCAGCCTGTTGCTGATTCTAAAGATTCTAGAGCCAAACTCACCCAAGCTCACCTCAGACACTATACTGAGGATATCCCGGACATCAGTCTGTACGAGATTAGGACGGCTCTGAAACAGCTAAAAAACAAGGCACCGGGTGAAGACGGTTACATCCGAGCTTCTGGAAGCGGGTAGAACACCGGTACTAAGAGTCTTTCAGAGGCTCTTTAATTCAGTTTTGCTCGAAGGTTCTACGCCAGAAGCGTGGTGACACTCTTCTTCAAAAAGGGAGATAACACCTATTGAAGAATTACAGGCCCATCTCGCTTCTATGTCACGTCTATAAGCTGTTTTCACGAGTCATCACGAACCGTCTCGCGCGCAGTTTCGATGACTTCCAGTCCCCCGAACAAGCCGGTTTCCGAAAGGGCTTCAGTACCATAGACCACATCCACACGCTGCGGCAGATTATACAGAAAACTGAGGTCTATAACCTGCAATTACGCTTAGCGTTCGTGGACTATGAGAAAGCCTTTGATTCGATCTAGATATGGGCGGTGCTACAGTCTCTACAACGGTGCCACATTGACTATCAATATATCCAAGTGTTGAAGTGTTTGTACAGAAACGCCACTATATCAGTTCCACTTCAGGACCAGTGCACAAGGCCTATCCAATTGCAAAGAGGAGTGCGACAGAGAGACGTCATTTCTCCGAAACTGTTCACCACTGCATTGAAAGATGCCTTTCTAGTTACTGAACTGGAAAGGACTCGGCATCAACATCAATGGCGAGCACATCACTCACCTTCGATTTGCTGACGATATCGTGGTCATGGCAGAATCGTTGGAAGAGCTTGGCACCATGCTCGGTGACCTCAATAGAGTTTCCCAGCAGGTGGGTCTAAAAATGAACATGGACAAAACGAAACTTATATCGAATGTCTACGTGGTAACCCCTATAACAGTGGGAACCTCTACTCTCGAAGTTGTTGACGAGTATGTCTACCTCGGACAAATCGTCCAATTAGGCCAACTACGAGAAAAGGGTCAATCGTCGAATCCGACTCTGTTGAGCAGCTTTCGGGAAGCTCCGAGACATCTTCTCGTCCGCAATACCGCAGTCCTTGAAGACAAGAGACTTCGAGCAGTGCGTGTTGATGCGTGCGTATGAGACATTAAGAATAATAATTTTATGTTAATATTTTTAAGTGTTATGATTTGCATTAATGCAACAATGTTGATTTTGTTAATACAATTATGGGAGTTGGTTATTATCGTATTTATGTAAACATTCAAATGCTTTATTTTATTATAGTAACGGGACCTTATTTGTTTTTTATTTGTTATGATATTTTCTAATTGATCAACAACAGAAAATGTGGACTAAATTTATTATTTTTGTTTCTGCATAAACATTTCATGTTAAATAATGATTAGAAGATATTACGCATAAAAATAAATAAAGATCCGTTTTATCCGTAATTTCCGGATATCCGGATTTAAAAAAGATTGATATTCAATTTATCCGGATCCAGGAAATGGACGAATAATGCTAACACTACATGTGGCTGAATTTCAATTAAATTTCTGTTCAGATAACATTTTAAGCGAATGTTTTAATTTTGAACTTAAGTAACCTCCCTGCTTGAACCTAACCTATGTAAGGAAGTATGACGTGCTACAAGAAAACTCCTTACTGACCATGGCTGTAATGGAAAAATGGGCCCGTGGGTTTTGTTTGGGGCATATATATTTATAGTCAAGTTAGCCACCATGCAATCACACCATTTACGAGCAAGTGTGATGCAAAATGTATTATGCCTATACAGCACATTCCTTGCGACGTGGGAGCGGAGAGCCATCTGATTCATCCGCGACACATCGTCCGCTCATCTGTTCGCGACAATCCGCGTTGCACTGTTAATGCCCTTACTTATTATTACAGCTTTCGGTTCCTGGTATCAAGCCACATTTGTCTGTCGGAGACGAGTTTAAAGATATTGATTGTATTACCTTCTCTCTCTAATTTGATTGGTCCTTCAAACTTGAATGGCATATTTGCTTTGCCGTTGTCTTCCTCATCTTCTTCGTCGAATTTGTCTTCTCCGAAATGACTTGTCTCGAATTTCTCTTCTCCAAATTTTTCTTCTCCAAATTTGCCCTGGATAAAAATTGAAATAGCTATTATAATAAAAGGTTATTGTAGAATAGACGTGTATTTTGAAACTCATTTTTAGTTTTATTTAAATGTCCTGAAGGCTATTAAATACGGGTCCCCAGAAGCTATTCGATCTTAGGCTGCTAACAGATTGCCTCCCAAATTACACTTACTTTGACAAAGTCAGGCAGACCATCTTGCAAGTGATACCAGCTTAGGATGAATATCAGCGAGACGAAGAACAAGTTCGAGCTTATGCCTGTCAACGATAAAGAAGAAGTAAATAAGAACATGAACAGAAAACTAGATTTGATTTATTTATTAAACAAAGATTCAACACTTAAAAAAATCCTACGATCCGGACGGATTTGAACCACGTCTTCTAGCAAACCGTGCCAGACCCTATGCCAACTAAGTCACGGAATGAACCTGCAGACCTCACGGATTTTTCTATGTGCTTGTTGTCGGATCTTTTGTATTTGGTTTTCTACGACTTTTAAGCCGTAGCGCCATCTACGAGAAATAAATGAGTGTTTCATCACCCAGTTAGATAACTTTACAGCTACCAGCCCTAACTAGAGATGTCGCTATTTGTAATAATGTCGGTTAGTACAAATAGCGACATCGAAGATTTTTTTCTGAGTGTTCGATCTTTGTACTAATAATTGTAACAAACTAGTGGAGTAATTCCACAAAAAATAATTAAATATCAATTCAATACAAATTTAAAAATCGAGCACTTAGAAAAAATTCACTTCGATCCGGTTGGCTTCGAACCAACGTCTCCTAGCAAACCGTGCCAGACGCTATGCCAACTAAGCCACGAAACGAACCAACAGACCTCACGAATTGTTTCACGTTCGTGCCAAATGGTTTGTCTATTAATTTCATTGATTAATAAAATAGTTTTTTTTTATTATCGTTTCACATAACAACAATATTTAAAATTTACTTTGCAGCTTTTTCGGCTTACAGTATGTTTCTGGAAGAGATGCAAATCATTCCAGCGTGCCTATTAGGTCAAGTCACGGACCGAACATCTGCAATGAATTATCAGCATCGATGAATGTGGATGCTGATAATTCATTGCTTATTGCATTGGCTGATGCGGAAGCGGATATTTTAATTCATCCAGGGGTAATCTGCAAATGTGGGTGCTGATAAACTCTACCACCCTGATTTAAACCATTAAAAAACATATTTAGTTCATCAAGTGGGGGTTGAATTGGGCACGGCTTTTCGGAAGGCAAGGGATCTCGGAATACTTAAAATATTGGTCTACTATTTCTGCAAACTGATATACTAGTACTCACCAACAACACAAGAGAACTTTGGCCAGTGGAACATGACATATCGGAGGCCGGTAAAATGTGCCTCGATGTGCAATTCAACACCATATACTTGTGCGAACCGCGATTGAACTTCAACGTAAGCATCTGTTACCGGTACATCCTATAAACAGAAATAGTTTTATTTTTAACGTTACATGGATTTAAGCTTACAACCCCTAATGGCTCATTATCATTTGTTGATACGACATCAACAAAGCCCTCATAGCGTTCCACTTGGGATTGATTTCGACTTTTTAATTACCATGCTGGTCTGTCACGCAGAGGTCCCGGGTTATCGAATCCGGGCCGGGAGAAATATTTGTATCACCTAAATTTATTTCTCTCGTGAGTTTGGGTGTAAGTTGTAGTTGTCTAGGCGTGTGTCCATGGCACCCGCGACACAGGGTTTCCCTAGTGCGGGGCTATGTGTGCGTTATTTGTTTATTATTTATATATGTATAACTAATCTTATCACAAAGTTCTACCTGGAGTTCGTTAGCTCTCACATACTAAATTGAGATCTGACGACTGCAGTGACTGAGATAAAAAACTGACCTGGGCAGGGACGAAGCCGCTACAGAATTTAATTTGGAGATACCGTTTCTACTCGTTGCAGCCAGCCAGTAGCAATGGCGTCCAGAGCACTAAGCTAACATCCGACGAGCTGAATTACTAAGTAGCTGACCTGGTCATCGACGAAGTCACTGAAGAGTTCAACTTGGAGCTGCTGCTTCTCTTCGCTGCAGCCCGATAGCAGCAGCGGCACCAGAAGCATTGTACGGAACAGCGTGTGAAGGCGAGATCTGCAAGCATCAGATGAGAGCTACGATTAAGGGCGTGTTCCCATTATGTCGTAACGTTTTATTTATAGTTGGACAACTGTCGCGCCTAACCTGTTCCCATATCACAACTATCTGTCGTGACTGTGTTGTGGACGTTTATTTTATCGTTGAACGACTGTCGTGTCTAACTGTTCCCACTAGATCGTGACGACAATTTATCGGTTCACGGCAGCGACTTATCGTTTGCACGACATAATCGTTTGAAGCTGTGATTATTTGTCGTGACATTGGTATCGTGACGTTTTATTTATCGTCGAACGACTGTCGTTCTAGCTCTTCCCATTGTCACGACAGTCTGTAGTCAAAAAGTCAAAAAGTCGTGAATGACAATTAATCGTGTTGTTCTATGCGTGAACAATTTCATTTAAATATGCAAGTCACGACACTTTCAACTGCACGGCTATAAGTTAGGAATTATTTTCTGACTGAAGTAGTGAACAAAGAACGAGGTGAATGAAGAACGTGTTATAAATTAAATTAAAAATTCTCTCTTTACATACTTTGTCCATTTCAAAAACTTGCACTACAAAAAGACTTAAAAGAAACAGAGCTTAAAAACATGAAACAGAAACTTTTTATAAATAACATAACACTAGTGTATCATTTGTCATCGATTCTCATTTTGTTTCCTTTACTGTAATTTGTTGTTTGAAGAAAATGGTTTACGACTACTGCTTCTTTGCTTACATTTTTCCAATTCTAAAAAAAACTAACTGCATTGTAGCTCATTTAAATAGATGACCTCACCGATGCCGTAGCATTGCAGATCTACACGACGACGACACCAGCACCCCGCCTTTTGCTCGCATTTGAGCGCACACCAAGAACATACCTGGTAAAAAAAAATTAAGACGGTTGTTGTTACTTTTGAAGCCGGAAATAGCGATATTTCCGGCATCATTATCATTGATAATGCCAATATAAATAATTATCTCCTTAATTAGTCAACCTTTAAATTAAATATCGATACCAGGGGTATCAATTAACGTAAGGGACATTTTGTCGAAAATGAATTACATATTTACAATTAAAAAAAAAGGCCCGCCATTTGCCAAATCATAATTGTTGTGTTGTGAACCTTTATATTGTATTTACTTCCTCGCAAGTGTGATGAAAAACGTTGTATGTATCACGGACGATAGTAATTTCTTATTTACCGTCCTCAAATCAATTTGGGCTGAAATAGGAATGTTATAAAATTACACACATACATAGTTTGTTTCATGTAGTTCGCTCGTAAGTATTATTTCTGTGATTTTCTTGTGATAAAAGCACTTTTGATAAATCTCTTGAGGAAATCTTTTGAGATAAATAAATAATACCTAATTCCTTATTGGGCGGCGACTCGGGCATGTCTAAGACGAGACGCACGCGGTACGGTTGCGCCGGCATCAGCATGTAACTGCGTTTCGTCAGTTGAACATGTGCTGACGGGAACGAACAAACACCCATTTGTTCCTCGCATGACCTAGAAGACATCTTTTAAAATTTATCTATATAATGTACCAAGCAAGTGCATTAGCATTTACGAGGGCAGTTAAGTCCTAGAAATTGCGAAGAAAACCCTTTTTTAAATTATGGCTTATTATTCTACGTGATCTCCTTTAAACTCTATGCATCTTGAGCGATATCCCAACTTCTTCAATCCATCAAAAAATATTTTCTGACAAACTGAAAACAATTGAGCCTCCGTTTCAGCAATCACTTCCTCATTTGATGCAAATTGTTAAAAAAAATCAGATAAAAAAATTAAATGGGGCCAAATCTGATGAATACGGGGGTGTGGCAATAGTTTGTATCATAATATCATAATTCGGGAAGTTTTGATGTCCTGTGCCTCCTCTACCATGAGAGTAGTGACAGTTATCGCTAGCGACCGCGTAAAATGTTTGTATACAAAATGGTCTTTCTTCTTGTGACCGCTAGGGGCGCTGTATAATTTGCCATACAAAATTGTAAAGTAATTTGCGCGGTCGCTAGCCACAACTGTCACAGTAAACTCATGGTAGAGCTTAGAGGATGGAAAAAATAGTCTAAGTGGTAGAGGCACTGATTCCAGATGAAAAACGGAATAGGTACTCGAAGTTCACTCTATCTTCAAAAAATATATCGACCTCACATAACTTTTACAAATCTATATTTTTTACTTTCGCGCTAATTTAAAAAAGTAACGTCAGTTGCTTAGTAAGGAGTTCTAAATTAAGAAATAAGAATAAATTCCGAAAAAAGTTTTATTTAAGTTTAAAGTCACGTATTTGTCTATTAACCATAAGTTAGACTCTTATTACGAAAACGTTGGTAGGGCATTACGAAAACGCTCATTGAGCGAAAAAATGCCCACAATTTGCCGATAAGCAATAACATGGTAACCAACATGATCATCGTTTTGAGAAAATGGCGCCTAAAGATATTTTTTCGTAGTTGTGGCTTGGATGAGGATTAATATGGATATGCCAACTGTTTTTACCATTTTTTTATTATTCGGAGGTTTTAAATCACTTAGTTTATGTTTATAAAATGTAGACGAGACGACAAGCTACAATTTGGCATTCATATCTCAATTTTCGAATTTTTGTACACCGACAATACTGTCTCGGGTTTGGGTGTTCGTGGATATTAGGGCACCACTCGCCATTTTCGTTAATACGCCATTTTCGTCAACTGGTCAAACCGTCGTTGTTTCCGATTTCCATAACACAAGTAGGTACTTTAGTTACTTACTTTGGGATCAGAGCAACATAATTATGTGATGTCTAATATTTATTTATTTGTACAATAGGATTATAAGGAACAATATAATGCGGTCCTATAGCATCCCTCTTTCCAGGCCTAAAATCTATAAAGTTATACGCTAGACACTATACCACTTCATATGATACCACTTTATGTACACAATTTAAATATTACAAATAAATGTCTATAATTCATTGCTCTTTTGCTTATAAAACAATCAAGTTTTTAAATATTTTTATTATGTGAGCTTTGTGCTCTTAAAAATGTAATTCTCAATAACTAATTACAAAATTCTACAAACTAATGACAAAGTACCCAGAAGTGTGTAGTCTTACGAGACTAGGTAAACATCAATACCACAATCATCGCCTTAAAGTGAAAATCTCGCATACGCGTTTATACACATAGTTCGTTTTTACTGATTTTTGTTAAGAAAATCTTATAATTCTTGCTCAAATATATCATTAAAGTAATATAGTATCAGAAAGAGGTAAGGTGGAGGTAACTAATTAAAATGCTAACTACAAACATAATTGGGTTTACTATATTTTGTACCACATTTTTATCTTCCTCTTGAAAAATTACATAAAAATCACATACGAGGTATTCACTATAAGACGACGCTATGTAGCTCATGTAAATACGCAGGCATATCACAGTGAAAGCCATAAAAGTAAAGCTTCAAAGGTACCTATAGCCACTCTTTTCTATATTATTAAAGCCCTTTCGGGATGGTCTAACACAATTATGCGGGTCGCAGGATCTAATTTATCCCATCAGTTTTACTCTATTGGGCGGACCCCACACCACACAATTGTGCGAAGGTAGGGCGTTGAACTCCCGCATTTTCGGTCAGTATGCCGGCAATATCCGACGCGGTCAGTTTGGTGAGAAATTGTAACTTCAGATTTAAGTAATGTAAGCATCATTTTCTACCAATTTTTTGATTATAGTTAATTATCATTCATTGTATATACAATTGTATGTGTATAAACAATAAGTGTTTTGAAAACTTGTACACCGTTTTATAAATAAAAAACATTGGTTGTATAAACCTGGGCCGTACGTTACCTTTCGTGTCTATTAAAAATAACTTAATTTCTATTATTTTCAGAGTTATTCAACAATGGCAGACATTTTAAACGATACTGCTATCGCAGAAATATTATCTAATTCGGGAGACGATGGTGATGACGACGAAGAAGAGCATGTGCACCTGCATCCGACGGGGATGACTCTACATCGTCTTCTTCAGCCTCCGAAAAAGACAGCGAACATGACATTCCTTTGAAATGGAAGAAGCAGACCTTCAATAGCAAACCCGTACCACAAGAGGCTATTCGTCTTTCAGGAGACGTCCTAAAACCCGCAGAATACTTCGAAAGATATTTTACAACGAAGCTTCTTGAACAATTTGCTTTGGCTACTAATCAATACTACATGGCCACCACTGATACGTAAATGAAGCCTGCTTGTAATTTACTTGATATCAGAAATTTTTTTGGCATTCATGGCATGATTGGTTGCATCCAATTTCCGAGGCTTAAACTGTACTGGAACGAGCGGTTCAAGTATGACCCTATCGCTAAAGCTATGTCCAGGGAGAGGTTCTTCTTTCTGAGGACAAATCTGCATGTTGTAGACGTCACCTGTGTCAATCAGGTAGAACAAAAAACAAACAAGCTGTGGAGGGTTCAGCCTGTAATCGATGCCGTCCGAAACAGATGCCTAGAATTGCCGCGTGATGCTGGTAATTATTGTATAGACGAAAAAATGATACCTTTTGAAAGTCGTTATGAAGAATTAAAGGTTGTGGTAAGAAATACACCTCGTCCAGCTGGATTGAAGAATTTCGTTTTGACCAACTACAAAGGGCTAGTCTTAGACTTTGAAATTTATCAAGGCGCTACTACCAACTTACCCGAAGCAGGAAAGTTCAGCACTGAAACAGCTGTTGTATTGCGCTTGGCTAGTACATTACCAGCAGGCAGCTTTCTGTATTTCGATCGATATTTTGCTTCCCTCCCTCTAATGAACGAACTGGTGAAGCGAAACTTAGAAGGCACAGGAATATTGATGGCCAATCGATTCAATACGAAGAAAAAAACACAATACAAGTTCAAGAAAGATCAGAACATGGTCAGAGGAGAATATGAAACAATCGTAAACAGCGATAAGACTATCAACATTGTTAAATGGAAAGATAATAAAGGAGTCTTGATGATCTCAACAGCTTTTGGAGCGGAGCCACGAACTAAAGTTTCAAGATGGGCAAAGAAAAGAGGACACTATGTTGAAGTGTGGTGTCCGGCTATTGTTAAAAACTACAATACTTACATAGGCGGGCATATATGTCTTTGAGCAGATGATGGCGACGTACCGAACATGGCGTAAATCCAGGAAGTGGACAATCAAAGTAATCCTCCATATGTTTGACCTTGCGATCGTTAATTCCTGGTTTGAGTATCGAGCCGACTGCAAGGCTAATAATCTCAGCTCTAAAGACATAATGGACTTGCTGTCATTTCGGATGTCTATTAGTGACCATCTTTTAAATGGTCCTCCAAGAAAGAGAACCAGAGAGGATCTGGAGTTTGCCGAAATGCCAACCAGTTGCGGATACAGGGCAAAGTCCCTTCCGACGGTCGACAGACAGTATGACGGCTTTAACCACTGGCCTGTTTTCGACAAATTAAAGCAGCCTCGATGTTGTCGTGCTGATAACTGTTCAAGCCGAACCCGCTGTCGTTGCACAAAGTGTGACATTTATTTGTGTTTAAACAAAGACCGTAATTGCTTTTTTGATTTCCACAACAATGAGCATTAAAAAAAATAGTATTGAAGTAACTGCAAGACTGATTAGGGAATAGGTACTATTTGATCGCAATTTAAGTTGCTAATTTTGTAAGAAGAAATGTTTGACCATGTGACATTTTAAGTAGCAGTAGAGCTCCTTGTGAAAGAGTTCGTCCTCGGAAGTACTGCCAGCTTACCTATTTCTGCCGCCAAGCAATGACGTTAGCATTACTGCGTTCCGATTTTGAAGGGTGCTGGTGAAATTCCAGGCACATGGGACTTGTCAACTTACGTCTCAGGGTGACGGACGGGCGCAGTGTCAGTGCCCCTCAGATTTTTGCGATTTAAAGCTCTGAGTCGCACTGCAAGTGCTATGAACAGGAGTGTAGCTCATTATCAGGCGCACGACATGTTTGTCGCGTCACTAAACATTATAAAAAAAATATCAAAATGCCAGTAATTTTTTTTTTAATTTTCAAATTTATGTTCAGCTAAGTGTCCGTAAATAGTCTATTGGTTTTATAGTATGATAATAGGTATTATATAAATAACATCATGTTCTCTAGATTGTTGAGAGTTTTAATAATGTTGTAAACATAAATTACAAGGCAATAACAACAGGCGACAGTGAGAGTACACTTTGTATGTGCATTTTACTTTTGTTCGAATATTACCTCTGGAGCAACAGAAATTGGTCAATGTTTAGCTTGAGATGCTGCCATCTGTACCAGAAACATAATTTATATATACATATAATACTTCTCACTTACACTTATAAAATCAATCTATCTTTAGCAAGTATATTTATTTGTTTGAAAAAACAAATATTTAAAAATCTTTATTAAGGTAAATATTAGAGAAACAACAATATTTTGCTATTTTTAAATATTTTAACCTTGCCTTTTTGCAATATTTCAAATGTATAAATTTGTAAGAAAATGCAGTCAGCTATATATATATTTTATATAGTCCTTCTAACAGTTTAGTTTTACATTGAAATTCTAAATTTAAAGTACTTTTTTTGGCGCCTTTTTCTTCCATTTATGGTTTAAGACATTTATTTCTCAAAACAGAATAAAAACATTCAATTACAATGAGAAATAGAGAAATAAGCTTACAATAACGAATGAGCATCGGAATCGTTACATAAATATATCAGAAAACAAATTCATGTTCTCACAGTGCTGTTGCTTAGACTTAAAATAACCATGCTAGACATACATGAACAATATTAAGTATTTTTTTATGTAGGAAATCTGAAATATTTTATTTGTACAACAAGGAGATTGTGTGGAGAGTCCACATTTTGTTTGGATACACAGTTGCTATCAGAGTTACGATTGAAAGAAATTGTTGCCTATGGTGGTGAATTATATTTTATAATGTGGAAATTTTTTGTCTTTTTGAATAAAGGGAATGATTGTATTTCTTGGATATGCTTTGGAAGATTGTTATACAGTTTGGCACCTTCGCACCGAATATTCTTATCATATATTAGTACCGTAGTTGGTTTGTGGTTTGTATAGGCATTTGACTATTGTTTCTGTTTTTCTGTTGTAACTATAGTGTTGTGTGAATAAATTGTAAACATGTGTCTGTGTTGTTGTTCTTGCTCATTCCTCAATAGCACTCACCCAAACCCCATACAGTCCACTACAACAGGTAATTACCCTACATAATTAAAGCTAATTTGAGAAAGGAATAAATTACTTACTTCATTTATAAATTTACATATTGTTAGCTCGGATGCATACCATAAAGTGAAATATGAAAGTTTATAATAAAATACCTCTCACTATAATAAAAGTATTGAAAAGAAATGTAGATTCGCAAATAAGTTGAAAAGATTCTTACGTCATTCTGAATTCTGGCACGGTAAGGTTGAAGACGTTGTTTGAAATCCGGCCGTATAGAAGGAATTTTTTCTGAGTGTTCGATCTTTGTATTAATAATTATAACAAACTAGTAGAGTAATTTCACAAAAAATAATTGAATATCAATGAATTTTTGAAATTGAAAAAAAGGAGCCATAACATTTAAAAGAAGAAGAAGAATACCAATTCAATAAAAATTTTAAATACAGCAAATAGCGACACCTCTCGCCAGGCTTGGTAGCTGTAAAGGTACTAACTGGGTGATAAATATTTCATAGATTTGTCATAAATGGGGCTACGACTGATAGGTCATTGAACCACACGCAAAATAGGCGCTTTGTCGTCGAGTTGCGGATACCAGCCCGTTGCACCAAGTAGGTCATTGAAAAACCAAATACAAAGACTCAACGCTAACACATAGAAAAATTCGTGAGGTCCACTGGTTAATTCTGTGCTTAGTTGGTATAGCGTCTGCCACGGTAAGCTATGAGACGTTGGTTTGAATCCGGCCGGACCGAAGGAATTTTTTCTGAGTGTTCAATCATTGTATTAATAATTATAACAAACTAGTGGAGTAGTTTCACAAAATAAAATTGAATATAAACTCAATAAAAATTTAAGATTCTTACTATCAAACAAAATTTTATAATTTACCTACAGGAGTTTTCGAATTAGCAAATGGATTGATATCCTGAGTGAAATAAGTGAAGTTGCATAACCTTTACAGGGCTTATGTTGAAGCATGTAATAACTTTAAAACTGTTTTTAACCCGTTGTCGAACAGTAACAATGTTTACCGTAAAAATAAACATTACAATATAATAGCACGAAGTACCTTGTTTCTTTAAATGAATCTAAAAAAACTACAAATTTTTACTTTACAGTACAATTTCCGAGTGCTTTCTGTGTAGTTGCTGCTTACTCCTTTGCCATAGAGAAGTATTAACAATGTACTGACAAAATTTAATGAATTTACATTGAAAATTTTATATTGACTCAATATAAGTACTAAGGCCAGAAATTTAATAAATATTTGCACACACAAATATTTAATACTTGAAAGTACTCCATCAGCCCATGAAAGGGTTAACATAAAGAAAATAGTAAATTATCGAAAAATATACTTACTTAAATTGCAAATGAACTGGACGGACATGAGTTACGTTCGGTATGTATGTATAATAGAAAACAACATACATAAACACAGAAATCCATAAAATCACCGTCGCAAAGAGCAATATGATCCCTACCCTGTACAGAAGCTCTTTAGCACTGCTTATACCCTTATTAGTCCGCTCCTTATATTCAAAATACTGCTTTTTTACAAATGTTTCCACAGGAATTCGAACATAATTTCGAAAAAATAAAAACGGATTTAATAACATGAAAATAGACATAATAACTTAAAAAACAATATTATAGCAGTAAAATACAAAATCTAACACTCTTTTATCGATTGAGAGGCCAGTTAACCGGATTTGTGGGTAGATAATGCACTGAAACTTTGTAACGTAGATAACAATTTCATTTTTAATAAAAATCGAAAAAGAAGTACATCCGTGAAGGATAGATAAATAAACGGAAACAAGTATAGCACACTCTGGCTTTGATAAAACTACTATAATAATAATTTGTATAAAAGGCGTTTTTTAAAAATCTTTTATCACAAAAATCAACTGATTGTGATTGTTAACAATTCAAGTGTCAAACTGTCAAATCAAAAGGTCGGAAATTCAAGTCCTTCGGGACAGACTATATAAAAGCCATGCTGCCAAAAAATATGTCAATGATAATAAAATCGTCTATAATAAAATAGGTAGCTAATGTAATTTTGCGTACATACAATAGTAGAAAATATACGTACAATTTGGATGAACACCTCAAAAAGTTTTATTAGTATTATTGTTTTTGTTTCGTCTAGGTATTGCATAAAATAGTGATAGTCGATAGATGAAATGAAGAGAAAAATCCACATATACAGATAATTAGTGACATATTAAGTGGCTGAACACTAACGAAGACGAGGGTTTCAATAATTTAAAAAAGAAATAAAAAATAAACAAAAAATTCGAATTTGGCGTTTGGTTTAGTTTGACAAAGCAAAAACTTTGGCTTAAGCGTTTGACGTGAAAAAAAAATGGGAAAAATAATCTAAAAATAAATAAAAAAATAACTTACAAAATCATGTACATAATATTTAAATTCGCCCGTAACTGTATACGACTGTGCAAACGGTTTAAAAGTACCACAGTAAACATAATTTTAAAAGAAAGTTTGCCTACAGCGGCATACCAACCAGACGTAGTAGAAAAAGATAAATATGCAAACTGGGAAAAGAGGGGTTTGTTTAAACCGAGCAATAATGATAAACCCGTTTTTAGTATGGTTTTACCACCGCCCAACGTTACAGGAAGACTGCATTTAGGTTAGTAATAACATTCTTACATTTAAGATTTTTTATGAGAAATTTGTGTCTGCAGTAGTCTTATTTTACTTATATCTTGTACTGTACCTTCACCAGGTACTGTATACATCAAACATTTGATATTAAAAAAATATTTAAATAAAGAACAATTATAATTATAGTCTATACATACAAATAAAAGAAAGATCTTTATTTCTTTTATGGCTTATTATTATTCAGGTCATGCTTTGGCATGTACGGTCCAAGATGTGATAGCGCGCCACAAGAGAGCTGCAGGCTATAATGTTCTATGGGTGCCAGGTATGGACCATGCTGGTATAGCAACTCAGGTATGAACATTTGCAGATGTGTAATCAGTTGCTAGGAAATAAAAAGACTTGCGTTTCCAGAATATTGGGATAAATATTGTTAGGAATAATAGCTGTTACTATTAATTCCTATACAATTATGGACGAGACCGGTCACATGCGAAGCAGTGCTTCTAAAAGAAATATCACAATTACTTTCCCATGTCGAGTGATCGGAATTGAAGGAGTTAACGTAAAATTCAAGTAACATAAATTCATTCACTTTGGAACTGATTATATTTGAATATGCGCATTATAATGAAATTAAAAATTATTGTCTCAAAAAATAATATTATAGTTGTGTTTTTATAGGTGTTCCTGCTCAACAAAACATTTTACACTAGTGCCTTGCATGCATATTTCGCTGTAGAAAGAAGTAACTGTTTTGTCTTTCACACAGCATTGTAACTAAGTGAGTGCTATCTCTGTCGCACAGTAGGAAAAGAAGATAAGACGAACAATAGAAACCGTTGCTGTTATCATATATTGGCAGTTCCTATTGTTTAACATCTTGATTTTTTCCTTTGAAAGAACAATTACTTTAGTAAGTTCATTATGTATAAACATTGTATTAATTTTAATATTTTAATCATCTAATTTTTTATGCATTGATTTGACAACATGAATGACATTGGTATTTTGTTGAT